GGTGGGGCGGGGAGGGGCGGGGGAGGGCCGCAGCGGAGGGCAGTGGCACGCGCCGGCCCCTAGATGCGGCCCGGCGACTTGGCGGCGCGCACCTGGCGCAGCAGCAGGCCCAGTGCGGCCAGGAGCACTGCGGCGAAGAGCAGCAGCAGGACGACCCAGGAGCTGAAGTCCGTGCCCTTGCGCAGCGCCGGCGGGTCGGCGGGGATCAGGTTGGTCAGGTTGAGCATGTAGCCGAGCGCCCAGCCGACAGCCGTGTCCGCGGCCTGCGGGCGAGGGGCGTGGCCTCAGCGCCGGGGCGTGGCCTCCACTCCAGGGCCGCCCCTCGCCGAGCCCCGCCGGCCCCACCTTCTTCTGGAAGGTCACGCCGCCGAAGGTGCGCGCGTCGAAGCCGTACCCCCGGCTCAGCAGCTGCTGCACGAACGTGGCCCCCGCGCAGTAGTCGGCCAGACGAGCCCGCTGCCCTGGCGCCCGAGCCTGCAGCTGGGACGCGGGCGGGAGATCGTTGGCCAGCGACCACCGAGAGGTCTCGGCCCCCCGGGAGAGGTGGCTGGCGGCGTGTGCGCCCTCCCCACGCAATCGGCCCCAGAAACGGCGCAGCAAGACCGAGTCCAAGGGGGCACCCCCCGCAGCGGCACCTCTCCTGTCCCTCCCTGGCCAGCACCTGCGCCTGAAAGACCAGCGCGGGGCTTGCCTCCTGCCCCCTACCCCCCCCCGACCCCCGACACGCCTAGTCTGCCTGAGACGAGGCACATAGAGGACAGGAGGGGGCCTCTGTCACCACCCAAGTCCCGCAGATGCTCCCACTTTTCTCCCAGAGCCTCCTGTGGTCACCTCACCCTCCATGTGCACAAACTTCTCCATCGTTCCTTGCAAGACACCAGCGTCTGACCAGTGGCAGAAGCCAGAAACCTGGGTGTTGTCTTCAACCCCTCACTCGCCGACCCAAATCCCTGCCAGTTCTACCTGAGTCTCTCCTGAATCCTACTTCTCCATGCTTGGCCACGCCCCACCCGCTCCTGGTCCAGCCACACTCCTCTCCGCTCTGCTCCAAGCTTCCTGCTGCCACAAGGCCTTGGCCCCAGCTTTCCCCTCCACCCTCCCGGTTTCGGATGTAGGGTCAGGTGTGAGGGGGACCTGAAACCCTGGCTTTCCTGGCTGCCAGCCTCCCAGCTGCAGCCTGGCCACTGCTGCAGTCTATAGAGCCTGCCAGGGCCCCTCCACGCTGGCTGAGGAGGCGGCGGGCTGAGCCCTGCTGTGCAGCCCTGGAGGAGGAGAGGAGCAGGCTTCACCTCAGCCCAGGTCTGGTTGCACACGGTCACTGTGGCTGCCTCCAGCTGCTGCAGGGTGGCCACGGGCAGCGCCATCACAGTCCTCAGGAAGTCCACGGTGTAGAAAAAGGCAGAGAAGGCCTGCGGGTACAGTCACATTGTGGCCAGGCCCCCGGTGCTCAGGGCACCTGCCAAGACCCCTGTCTGCCCGGACTCACGATAAAGTTCCCAGCCACGGGGGGCTGGAAGACCCCATTGAAGGAGCATCGGGAGAAGCGGCAGGAGGAGAAGCTGAAGAGCCTGGAGACGAGGTCGCGGCAGAGGGCGGGGTCACTGCTCCCTGCTAGGCCGACCCTGGCGCTGCTGTTGAAGGCCTGGGGCTGCTGAGCCACGGTGCACGGTGACTGGTACACGTCCTGAAGCAGCACTTGGGTAGAGTAGCCCCTCGGCCAACAGGGGTGGAAGCCGTGGGTCTGGGGGGAACCAGGGTGACTGGGTGACACCACGCCCATCCCAGAGGACCGTCCCGGTCAATCTCCCACAACTATGGCAACATCACTTTTGTGCTCAGGAGCAATACATGGCTCCCCGTTGCCTGCTGGACAAAAACCAAATCCCTTGGCCAGGCGTTCAAGGCCTTCTGAGAGCTGTGCCTGGCACTCTTTTCTCCAGGCCCTTCCCCAGCTATTGGCCCTTCCAATGGGCCCTCCCCACCTGTTCCTCCAGCCGATGCAATCCCAGCCTGGAGAAGCCCTCCTCTGTATGGCCGCTGTCCAGCCTCTGTTCTACACACCCACCTCTTCTCAACCTGCCAGGAGGGGACAGCACAGTGTGGGAGAGCAGGGTGGAGGGGCACCTGGAGGGCACTGGCCAGCAGTCTCTGGAGGATCTGGTCGCGGCCATAGCAGAGGAAGCTGTGGGTGTACACGCGGTAATGCTGGCCGTAGAGCCGCAGCTGCACCTCATTGGCTTGGTCCTCAGCGGGACTGGTTGTCTCGAAGGTGATCTGTGTGGAGGCACCCCCCAGGTCCATGGCCCCCAGCGTCCCCTTCCTTGGCCGGAACCACCGGCCCACCCAGCCATACTGTGGAGAGTGGAGTTTGGGTCAGCAGGTGGGTGGGCGTCCACGCCCCCTGGCTCACTTGGCTGGCTGCTGGGCCCACCTTGATGAAGTTCTCCAGCAGGTAGTTGGCAGTCACCCAGCCAAACACCCCCTCATCCTGGCCTGAGAGGATGCGTGCACCACGGAAGTCAAAGGGGTACTGGGTCAGTGTCTGTGTCACCGCTGCCAGCACATTGGCTGAGGCCTCTGGACTGGTGAGGCTGTGAAACAGGGAGGACTCTGAGGGGCCCGCTCCCAGGTGGCCGTGATCCTGCAGCCGGGCTGCTTGGGGTCTGCCCAGCGAGGTCCTGGCCTGGGGCTGCTGCTGAGGGTGTGTTGGGCCTGCCCTGTGCTGGGGCTGTCGTGGGGACCCAGGAGCAAAGTCAGAGGACAGGCACACTCACTTGAGCAGGCGCATGCCCGCTGTGGCTCCCAGGTAGAGGGGCGTGTCTGCATGTCTCTCTTTGGGCACATCCCGAAGCGCCTGTTCAAGGCATTCGACGAGACTCTGGCCAGCCCCAGACGGGTTGTCTGCATAGCTGGAGATGCCCCCACCTAGAGGGAAGGGTCGAGACGGGCCCATGCCTGGTGGGCAGCTGCCCCTAGGTGGGCCATAGGCCAGCAGGGTTGAGGGTCTAGGGCTCCAAAACCAGGTGGCACACCTTACCAGTTTAAGCCCCCAGAGACACTCAGTTTGGAGACAAAGGAACCCAGGTGCCACCCAGAGTCTCTGAGGCTGCCGCCTGCTGAGTGGGTGTGGGCACAGGTGCTAGGACAAAGCATTGGGTGTAGTCCACACAGCCTGGCCTGGGCCCACCAGGTCCTCTGAGGCCTCCTGCTCCGTCTAGGGTGTAGAGGCCAGTCTTGGGCTGGGTGAGGCCCAAACCCTCCACCTGCCTCCTGGGCTTCCTTTCTAGAATGCATGCTGCCCTCAGCCCCTCCCAGTTGCAAAGGGCCCCGCCTCCTCCTGGGGCTTCTGCCTGGAGTGAGCCCCACCCAGCACCAAGCAAAGGGGCCCAACTACTTGGGCCCGCTAAGGCTGGAGAGGGCCCCCGAGGCCCTACAGCGAATGGACATCCAAGCTGGGGAGTGTTCCGGGCTGAAGGGGCCTCACCTCGAACATCACAGGAGCTGTGTTGGCCCACTATGCCTGTGTCATTCTCCTTGTCCGCCGGCCACTTGTAGACAAACATGGCTGTGTGCGAAGAGCCAGCATCCAGCACGATGCCGTACTGGGAGGGCGGGTAGGGAGTCAGCCTGGGGGGTCCAGGGGCCCTGGAGGCCATGCCCTTTTGTTCCCTCACCCCCACCCTGGCATGTGGCAAGCTTCATGCTAAAGCTCAAAGAAGGCCAAGGGCAACCACAGTGACGCAGCTTGACTGGACGGAGAATGGCGAGAAGATGGCCAGGAGCCCCACTGGTGATCTTGTCTCCTCTGCCTGCCTGAAGCCAGCACGCCAGGACGGACCAGGGCAGACTGTGGGGCTGTGCCCGGGACTGAGGGTCTCGGCACCACATTTGGAACTTTTCCCTGGGAACACGAGGTGCCCGGGCTCAGGAAGGGAGGCCTAGCTGCAGGAGGACCCTGGGCTGCTCTTCCTTTCCCTCCGCCTCCCTCTGCCCTGACCTCAGCCCAACCTGAGGGTGCTGAAATAGCGGCCCCCAGGGAAGAAGGCTGAGCCAAGGCTGGGCGTGGGCCTCAGATCCATGCTGGCCCTGTTTGAAGACATCCCCTCCCTAGGCCTCTGAGCCAGGGCCAGAGAGAGAAGCTGGGCTGCAGGGCGTCGCTGGATAGACAGGGATAGCTCTGCACCCCATTTGTAAGGGCCTGGATCCAACTGGGAAAGCCCGGCTGGAGACCACGCCTCCCAGGCCCTGGGTGCCAGCGCCAGCCTGTGAGAGGGCTGTGCCAGTGCCCCCCCAAGGAACTCCCCCAGAGCCCAGGGAGCACAACGTGCCAACCAGTCCACCTCCGCCAGCGCCACCCGGTGGTCCTGCACCCGAGCTCCGCCCTTTGGACCCCCTCTCCTGGGCGCAGCGGGCTCAGCTCTCCGCCCCACCCCCCATAAGCCCAGTAAAGGGTTAAAGGAGCAGCCCCAGGCAGCCGGGAGTGGGGGAGATCCAGGCTAGCCCGCTCCAACCCCTGTAGGACCAGCCAGGGCTGCCCCAGCCAAACCCTCTTCACGGGCAGCTCCCGCACTGTCGGGGCCACCGGAGTGGCGGCGAGGGGGCCCCGGGCCCTGTTGCTCCCCATCTGGGCCAAACTCCGAGCCGCCGCGCGTCTAACGGCGCACTCCGGGCCGTGGTGCAGGGCAGAGGCCGCACAGGGTGCCCCCTGGGGGCCGCGCTGGGCTGGGGAGCTCGAGCCTGGCCGAAGCGGGGGGCGCCCCGGGGGCTGCATCCGGCGATCCGGGAGACAGCCTCCGGGCCGCGCTGACAGGATCCGCGGCGGGCGCGGCATTCCGGGGACCTCGACCTCCAGCACCGACCGCGTCGCCCGGAACCCGGGACCCCACCCAGCCCGGGTGGGAACAGAGCGCGGTGGGGGGCTCGGGCGGACACACGAGAGCAGCCTGGCCCTGCCTGGGCTCCGAGCCGCCCGCGCCCTGCTCCCGGCCCCGAGCCCAAGGCGCCCGGGACTGTGCCGGCTGCCCGGGCGCGCACCTTGAGGGCGGGCGGCTCCCGGACGTCGCGCGTGGGGACGCACAGCAGCAGGAGGCCGGCGAGGCCCGCCGCGGCCAGCAGCAACGGCGGCAGCAGTGACAGCATCTTCCCGGCCATGGGCGGGCGCGCGGGAGGTCCAGGCGTGGACGCAGAGACGGCGGGAAGCCGGCGGGGAGAGGCGGCCGGGGCCGCGGGACCGCAGGGTAGGGGCCCGGGGCGGGGCGCGGGCCTGACACGCCCACTGTGGCCCCGCCCACGGGCGCTACCGGCCCTGCCCACCGCCCTCCGCGGCCTGGCGGTGAGCGCAGGTGAGAGACGCCTGCGCGGCTGAGTCACCAGCGCCGGCACCTGGGTCCAGCCCGGCGTCCCGCGGCTGTTGCTCACCCCTCCTTCCTGCCCCCGCAGCACAAGGCTCCCACCCTGTCCGGGGAGTCGCGGAGGCGGGGACCTGGCGTGGGGGAGCGGGGCTGGCTCGGAGCAGTCTTACTCGGAGGGTGCTTCTGCCGGAGGGAGCCGCTCTTCCCTGGCGGGCTCCAGGAGCCACGTGGGTTCCAGGCTGCGGGCTCAGGAGGGAAGAAGGGTCTGCGTCTGCTTGGGGAGTGAAGCCTGCGGCGCCGACCCTGGAGCTGGCCAGGACCAGGCTGGCCCGTGGGATTCCCTCCCTGCCAGAAGGGACCGGCCAGCCTGCAGCGCTGGGCCAGACCTGGGCTGCGTGGCTGAGGGCGGTACCGGTCAGCTCCAAGGCCACAGAGTTGACCCAGCTTGGGCTTGCCCTTGTCTTAGGCGCTCACAGCCAAGCAGCATGAAGGGCTAAGTCAGATCTAGCTCACACAGCCCTGGACTTAGGTGACAGGTGAGGACACAGAGGCAGAAAAGGGAAGGGGTGGCCACCGTCACACCAAGCCCAGAAACAGGAGAGAAACTGAGCTCAGATGGGGCCCCGTGCCAGCCCCCTGGCTCAGAGCCTTGGCCATCCCTGCTGCCCTCTTTGCCTGGGGGACACAGAGGCCTAGACTGTGGAGGCCAGAGGAGACTTTCCTAGGAGGGGAGCAGGTAGAAGGGAGAAGAGGACCCCAGGCCAGGCTTGGGGTGCTGGTCAGCAACTGGTTCCTGGACGCTGGCCAGGGAGGGCAGGTGCTCAGCTGGCCCCAGCACCCCCCCCGCCCCTCCGCCACGGAGTGTCTGGCCTCTCTGCTCTGACCCTCACACACCCTCTATGCCAGCCTGGTCCGGGGCCTCTCTCCTTCATCCCCTTGGCAGAATGGGAATTCCAGCTCTAACAATGCCAGCCGTACAGTGCAGGGAGCCGTGTGGCGAGACCACCCAGGGTGCAGGGCTGAAGGGTGGCCTTTGATGGGGCCAGGGTCTGGGCAACGCCCTGGCCATCTGGAATGGGCAGGGACGATTGGGCTGGGATTGTGCCTGGGTGGAGGGTCTGGTGTCACAGGCCCAGCAAAGGCATCTTTCTTCTGGCTCAGGACCCCAAGGGAGGGGTGGGAGCCCCAGAGGTCACTCAGCCTCCTCAAAGTTCAGCCCGGAGCCAGGCCTGGCAGGGCCCCAGGGAGAGTCTCTGGGCGTGGTCAGTGCTGGCTCCGGGCCCCAGTTTCCCACCAGCATCCTCCCATGCCCCAGGCCCTTCCTTCCAGAAAGGAAGGCCCTGGAAGCCCAGAGGCAGGACAGGCATCCACGCGCGCACACCACGCCTGAAAAGGAAGGCCCACAGGCAGCCCAGAGGGAGCCCAGCACCCGCCCCCACCCTGCCGGTCCCCCAGTGCCCCCCTTGTCCTCCTACCAGGCCCAGCGGGGCTTCCTGGTGTTCTGGACTGTCCTTGCCGGACAACAAACCCAGGCCTGGGACAGCAGGAGCCTGGCAGGCCTGAGAGGACGGGCCCTGCTCCTGGCCGGGTGCCCAGAGCAGCTTGTGAGGGGAGGGAGGCAGGAGCAGGAACAGTCCACAAAGGCTGAGAGGCAAGTTCTGTCTGAGACCATGGAGGGCAGGGAACGCCCCTTCCTGGCACGGATTTGGGGCCCCTGGAAGGCGGATTGGAGGGCGTGTCAGAGGGAAGCTGGCTGGAGCCGAAGGGGTGGGGGGGCTCTGGGGGGGAACCTCGGTGGGGGCAGGCGTGGGGGCTCCAGATGCATGTGCTTGGCCCTGCTGAGCTGAGCAGTGAGGATGCAAGAGGTGAAGGGAGAGGCCCTGGGAGAGGGGCCTCAGAGCCTCCCTGCGTCCCCCCACAGGATCCGGACCTCCTGGGGAGGGGACTTTCGCTGGGGCCTGGCAGCCCTACCTCAATCTCCTGTGGCTGAAATGGGAAAGGCCCTTCACTCGCTGTTCTCTTTCTTCATGTACTCAATCAATCATTCAACAAACGCTTGCTGAACACATCCTGCAGGCCAGAAGCATGCCAGGCTTCATGCATATGCAGTGAGCAAGGGACACCCATGAACTCCAGGGGCAAGGCACAGGGGAGGGCACCCACCTGTCTTGGACAGGTGCAGTGGTACAATCACAGATCACTGCAGCCTCAAACTCCTGGGATCAAGTCATCCTCCCCCCTCAGCCTCCCCAAATGCTGGGATTACAGGCGTGAGCCACCACTCCTGGCAGTTTCCAAAAATTCTTTTAAAAACCTGCATGAATTGACTTTGAGGGTTCTTTTTAAAGATTTTTTTTAGAGCAGTTTTAGATTCACAGCAAAATTGACAAGAAGGTACAGAGATTTCCACAGCAAGAGCAAAAATAAATAAATGGGACCTGATCAAATTAAAAAGCTTCTTCACAGCCAAGGAAACTATCACTAGAGTGAAGACAACCTGCAGAATGGGAGAAAATATTCACATGCTACACATCCCATAAAGGGCTGATAACTAGACTCTGTATAGAACTCAGGAAAATTAACAAGAAAAAATCAAACAACCCCATTAAAAAGTGGGCAAAGGACATGAACAGAAACTTTTCAAAAGAAGACAGACTCATGGCCAACAAACATATGAAAAATTGCTCAATATCTCTAATCATCAGGGAAATGCAAATCAAAACCACAATGAGACATCACTTAAACCCAGTGAGACTGGCTTTTTTCGAAAAGTCCCAAAACAATAAATGTTGGCATGGATGCGGAGAGATAGGAACACTCAGACCCTGCTCATGGGACTGCAAACTAGTGCAACCTCTGTGGAAAACAGTATGGAGACACCTCAAAGAGATACAAGTAGAAGTACCATTTGATCCAGCAATCTTAGTACTGGGTACTTACCCAAAGGAAAAAAAGACACCTGCACTAGAATGTTTATAGCAGCACAATTCACCATTGCAAAGGTGTGGAATCAACCCAAGTGCCCATCAATACATGAGTGGATTAATAAAATGTGGTATACGTATACCATGGAGTTCTACTCAGCCACAAAAAACAATGGTGATACAGCACCTCTTGTATTATCCTGGATAGAGCTGGAGCCCATTCTACTAAGTGAAGTATCCCAAGAATGGAAAGACAAGCACTTTCCACACTGGCTTCTTTCGTTTAGTGATATGCATTTAAGGTCCCCCCTGCCCTCTTATGGTTTGATAGCTCATTTCTTCTTAGCACCGAATAATCGTCCAGACATTGAATTTTATTGAATGTTTTTTCTGCATTTCTTGAGATAGCCATGTGATTTTTCTCCTTTAATCTGTTAATGTAATGAATTAGTGCATTTGAAAATATTAAACTAAACTTTCATTCCTTGAGATTAATCCAAACTGAGCATACTGTATTTTCTTATTTTATAGCTGCAGAATAGGGTTAGGTTGTATTTTTCCTTTCTTGTAATGTCTCTCTTTGGTTTTGTTTTTTGGTTTTTTGTTTTTCTAAAGAGACAGGGATCTTGCTGTATTGATCAGGCTGCCCTTGAACTCCTGGGCTCAAAGGATGTTCCTGTCTCAGACTCCCAAGTAGCTGGGATGACAGAAATTCTTCCGCACACAGCTTTGTCCCTGTCCCGTTTTGATATCGAGATTATGCTAGTCTCATAAAATTTTTCTCCAGAAAAATTTGCACAGTATTTGGATATCTGTTCCTTGGAATTTATGGTAGAACTTGCCTGTAAAAATACCTAAGCCTGTTTTCTCCATGTTAAGTTCTTTTTTTTGAGTTGGGGTCTCGCTCTGCCGCCCAGGCTGGAGTGCAGCGGCACAATCACAGCTCACTGCAGCCTCCAACTCCGGGGCTCGAGCATCCTCCTGCCTCTGCCTCCGGGTAGCTGGGACCACAGATGGGCCACTGAGCTCAGTGAGCAAAACCGTTTGTACCTGCGTTGTCTGGTTGTTTCTCTGTACTAAGAAACATGTCCACTACACAGTATATACTCAAAATATATCTTAATAGAATTTCTTCCTTCCCTGTTCTTCGTATTCAATCTTCTGTTTTTCCAAATTCTGAAGTTTAATGCTTAGTTCTTAACTTTCAAGCCTTTCTCCTTCCCGCTGTAGACCTGCAAGCGTCCGCTTGGCTCCCGCCAGTCCCTGCGTGTGATGCGCGCTGTTCCTGTTCGCCTTCGCGCGGTTTTTTCATTTCCGTGGTGATTTCTTCTTTGACACATGGGTTGTTTAGAGGTGTGTGTTTTCATAGGCAAAAGTCTGGGCTTTTTAAAATTCTCTTTTTTATGTTGCTGTCTGGCCTACCCGCCCTGCGGTGAGCTCGGGGAGGCTGTGGGAGCGGCCCAGCATGTAGTCGAAGATAGTTACGGGTGTTCCGCATCGTCCCGCACCTGCCGGGAAGAAAAGGTCTGTGCTCCAATTAATGCGCGCGTGCGTTGGTCTCTGTCCGTCCGTTAGATCAATATTATTAATGATGTTCAGATACGGCAGCCTAGCAATTATTAAGATATCTATATTAAAATTTCCCACTGTGATGGTGGATTTGTCAATTTTTCCTTATAGTGCTGACAAGTCTTGGTATAAATAAATATATATATATATGTGTTTTCTAAAGTATTTATGTTTTATTTTAAATGATCATTTTATTTTACAATGATTATAGACTCACAGGAGTCTGCAAAGAGGTGTACGGACGCTCCCGGCACCCTCCCGCAGCCCCCGCAGTGTTGGCGTCTTCTGCAGCCACAGTGCGACAGCAAACCAAGGACCTGCCCTGGCGTGGCCCACAGAGCTCCTCTTACTTCCCACGTGTGGCCGTGTAGCTCCGTGTGGCTCCCTCCCTGCGCGCTGCTGCCTCAACCCGCCAATGCGGCCTTTCCAGACGGGCTTTTTTACCCCTCAGGGTCATTTCCTTGAGGTTCTTCCGAGTGGCTGCTTGTGTCACTGGCTGGTTCCCTTTCGTTGCTAAATAGCATTCCGTGGTGTGGACGTGCCGGGGTTTGCTTAACCACTGACCCACAGAAAAACGTTTGGGTAGTTTCCAGTCTTAGGCTAGGAAACAAATGGAACTGCTGTGAACATTCCCGTACGTGTTCCTGCATGAAAATAAGTTCATGTCTCTGGGACAAAGGCCCAAGAGTGCAATTATATGTGGATTAGTCAGAGTTCTCCAGAGAAATGGAACCTGGGGTGGGGGGTGGACAGATGGCTGTTTTAAAGAATTGGCTTGCACGGTCGCAGGGACTGCCAAGTCTGACATCCGCAGAAAGCCCATCGGCAGGTCCGAGACCCCCGGCGAGAGTCGATGTTGCCGTCTCGAGGGCAAAGGCTGTCTGGAGACCGAATTCCTTCCCATCTGGGGGGCTTCACGCTTCTCTCTTAAAGCCTTCAGCTGGCCGGATGAGGCCCGCCCACATCACGGAAGGGACTCTGCCTTGCTCAGAATCTACTGACTTAAACATTAATCACATCTGAAAATACCTTCAGCAGCATCTAAACTAGCATTTGCTCAAGGCACCGAGCACCAGGGCAGGGTCAGGGGCACACACAGTTCACCACCACGGGTGGGAAGTTGATTTTAGTTTTTAAAGCAATTACCAAATTATTTTCCCGTGTCTGGGTCATTTTACACATCCCCAGCACATGTGAGCAATCTGATTTCTCCACGTCTTTGCCAACGCAGGTGTGGCCACTGTATTTCATTGTAGCCATTCCACTTGGGGTGCACTATCTCACCCTAGTCTTAATTTGCACTTTTCTAATGGCTAATGACGTTGAGCATCTTTGCATGGGCTTATTTGCCGTTATATATCATCTTTGGTGAAATATTTGCATATCTTTCGTGAATTATATATTTTGAGGTTATATGATTGGGTGACGACAAGTTTAAGATTGGTGTGTCTTCCTGGGGACTTGAGCTTTTTATTATTAGGCAGTGACCCACCCTCTTTATGATTAGTAAAATCTCTTGCCTTGAAATCTATTTTGTTTTATATTTATAAAACTACTCAAACTTTTCTTGTTTTTTGATGTTTTTGTATTTTAGATGTGTCTCTTAAAACAGCTTAATCTTTTTCTAAATTTCTGAAAATCCAACCTGACAACTTTGTCTTTTAACTAGTGAGTTTAATTCATTTATGCGAATTGTGATTACTAGTGTATTTCTACCATTTTATTATGTGTTTTCTGAATTTTTTTTTCTTCTTCTTCAGGTTGAATTTATTTTTCTTTTTCTCATCCCATCCCCTCCCCCTTTTTAGAAGGTACTAACGGTAAGGCTATTATTTTACCCCATTCTCCTAGTTCTTATAACATACACACTTCATAAAATCTAAAGTTAATCAATACATTTTCCCTCCTTACAAACATTAAAGTGTCTCAGAACACCTTAGCCCCCATCACTTCTCCTTATGTATATGCCATATGGACATTATTTTATTTATGTATGTATTCGTTTGTTTATTTGTTTTAGAGACAGAGTCTCTCTTTGTCGCCCAGGCTGGAGTGCAGTGGCATCATCACAGCTCACTGCGGCCTCCAACTCCTGGGCTCAGGCGATCCTCCCACCTCAGCCTCCCGAGTAGCTGGAACTTTAGGTGTGAGCCACCATGCCCGGCTGTATGGACATCATTTTACTTCTATCTTGTTTCCCCTTCAACAATGTAGGTACTATTATTATCAGATACGATATTTGCTTAGATTTTTCTACATGTTTAACTTGTGTGTCAATTTTAAAATATGTTTCACAGATTATTCGATACCCCTCCCTTGAAAAGGTGGAGCCTCATCCCCGCTGCCCACCTTGAGTAAGGGCTGGACTTAGTGATTCCCTTCTAATGAACAATATTTCACAAGTGACTTCTGAGACTAGGCCATAAAAGGCAGGTGGCTTTCTTCTGGCTGTTGCTCTTGGACACTTACTCTAGGGAAGCCAGCTGCTATGCTGCGGGAACGTTCAAGCGGCCCGTGGGGACAAGAAACCGAGGTGTCCTGCCAACAGCTGTGCTCCTGAGCCGTCCTGGACGTGGGTCTGTGGCCGCGGCGGAGCCTTCCGGTCTCAGCAGCGCTGCTAACGTCGTCCCTGCAGATCCCTGAGATCTCGAGTCAGAGCCCCCCAGCCCAGATGCTCCCAAAGTCCTAACCCACAGAAACTGCAAGAAGATAATTGTTGCTTTAGGCCACGAAGTTTTAGGTTAATTTGTTATGTAGCAAAAAATATCTAACTTGTCTTTATTTATGATTCTTTCTTGAATTTTACCTTTTCCTGAAGCACTTCCTCTGGAATGTCCTTCAGTGAAGTTCTGCTCATGGTAAACTCCCAATTTTTGTTTGCAAATATTTTATTCTGCCCTCATCCTTAAGAGACAGCTTCTCTGAGTATGGGCTTGCAGGTTAATCGGCATATTGTCCTCGCCATCCAGACATGGCTTTTACTGTGGCCCCGATGCTGTCCTGGCACTTCCTTAGCAGGTGACTTATTTTCCATCTCTTGATTGGACGTGGTGGCGCCTGTAGCCCCAGCGCTCTGAGAGGCCAGGAGTTTGAGACCAGCCTGAGCAAGAGTGAGACCCTGTCTCATAAAAAATAGAAAAATTAGCTGGGCGTGGTAGTCCCAGCTACTCGGAGGCTTAGGCTGCAGAATCGCTTGAGCCCACGAGTTGGAGGTTGCGGTGAGCTGTGATGATGCCACTGTACTCTACCCAGGGTGACAGCAAGACCCTGTCTCCTTTTTGTTTTTTTTTTGAGACAGAGTCTCACTCTTTTTGCCCAGACTAGAGTGAATGCCATGGCATCAGCCTAGCTCACAGCAACCTCACACTCCTGGGCTCAAGCAATCCTCCTGCCTCAGCCTCCCAAGTAGCTGGGACTACAGGCATGCGCCACCGTGCCCGGCTAATTTTTTCTACATATTTTTAGTTGTCCAATTAATTTCTTTCTATTTTTAGTAGAGACGGGGTCTCGCCTTGCTCAGGCTGGTTTCAAACTCCTGAGCTCAAGCAATCCACCCGCCTCGGCCTCCCAGAGTGCTGGGATTACAGGCGTGAGCCACCGCGCCCGGCCAAAAATCATCGTTTTTGTTACAACAGAAGGGTCTGTTCGTTGTCTATAGCAAATGTATCTTGCTCTTGCTCTGTAAATCTATTTTGCCCTTCCTTAAAAAAACTTCGTTTCATGCTCGTCTTAAAAATATATATATATATATATATATATATCTGTCTCTAGATTCTTTTATGGTCTCATAAGACAAAGTCTACATTCTTTTTATTCATCCTCAGTGGTATTTGTTGGGATTCCTGTCAATTCTGGAAAATTCTAAGCCAGTTTCTTGCCATATATGGCTCCTCCTTCCCTATTCTGTCTTCCAGGAAACCCAACCAGACCAGGACCCACCCGTCACCCAGAACCCTCACCTCTTCCGCATTTCCTCTCTCCGGGTAATTTTCTGAACTTTCAGTTCACTGTATCTTTCAGCTGTGCTGAAAAGTTTTATCGATATTTAGTCAATTTGATTGAGTTTTTCATTTCAATTAGATGGGTATTTTTTATTTCTGGAAGTTCTGTTTGATTCTTTTCATACATGGTTGGTCTTCTTTATAGAGTGAAAGATTATACTTTGTAAGGAATGAGACTATAAAGACTATTCCTTGTTCATATTTCCAAGAATCTTTTATTTCTTCAGATACAGAAAACATTGTTTATATTCTCTCTGATAATTCCGGTATTTGAGCGTCTACAGATTCTATCTGTTCCTGCTGGTTCTCATGGTATATCGTTTCCTTGTGTTTGCAAGTTTTTTTAACTGATGTTCATTTTCTTTGGAACTCATTTATCAACGGGACATGCTCAGGCCTGGTGAAATTGTTCCTTCAGAGCAGATTCTCAACCAGTGATTTTTGCTCCCTCGGGAACACCGGGGACACTTAGCAACATCTGGCGACATTTCTTGTGGTCACGACCGTGTCTGTGTGTGTGCTCGTGTGAGCACCCTACTGGCATCTAGTGGACAGAGGCCAGGGATGCCGCCCACATCCGGCAATGACCAACAGCTTCCTCCACCGAGACCTTCCTGCCCCCAGCGTCACTAGGGCTGGGCTCCAGAGAGGACCTGCATTGGCTTCTGCAGGTGGCCTGGGCCCAGCCGGTCTGGGCCCACTTTAAATTCTCCCCTTGAGGTCTCCAGGGCCACACACGTAGTCTGATTTCAGGCTGCAAACTTGGAGGATCTGTTGTTTTCACCCTGCATGGAACACCAAAGCCAGGAGAGGCACCGGATCGTTTCCTGTTCACCCTTCCTCTGCAGGGTCCAGCTTCCTGGGGAGGTCCGGTGGACGTCACCCTGGGGCAGACGCTGTGTTCTGTCCCCGGCCTCTAGTTCTGTGAAGATGTCGGGGTGCAGAATCCTCAGGGCACAGCCGACACCCTCGGGGGCAGACTCCGTGGACTCGAGGGACATGGACAAGGAGAGTTTCTCCCTGGCTGGTGCTGGCCTAACCACTGCACCACAAGCCCACCCTTTCCTGCCTGGGGGGTCTAGGCCTGGGCTAGCTCAGGTTCCCAGAAGCCACTCCTATCCTCAGAGGAAGATGGCTGCCCCTGGGCTGACTTGGGCCTCCCCCAGGACACCCCAGCAGGACCAGCACAGCAGGGAAGCGACTCTGCCAGCTGCTGCACCGCCAGGGCCCAGAGGGAGCTGCTGCTGCACGGGCCGGGCTGCTCCTGTGAGCCGGGGTGCCCCCTGGGGCTGCATGCCCCGCTGTGCTGGGCACTCACAGACACCTAGCCCTGCGCTGGGGGCCCCCGGGCCGCAGACCCGCCCGTGACGCTGCTGTGCCCTCCATTCTTGGCGCGGCCCCTCTAGGCCAGGCTGACAGGGGCCCCCAGAGGGAGGGGTCGGGGCAGGGAGTGACAAGAGGTCCCCCCAGCCTCTTCCTGTGCCCTGTGGTTCTGCTTTTCTGTGGCTGAAGGGAACCTGGTGCCCAAACCTGGGGCCACGCTGGGTGTGGGGGGATGGAGGTGTGAGGTCCCCAGACCCTGGTAACTTTGAATGCTTTGGGGTGGCCCCAGGGGGTAAGCTCTCCCTGTGACATGCTTCAGGGCCCATCTGTGGGCCCAGGCTGACACCCCTCCTGGTGGCAGGGTCCTCGCTGGGGGGAGGCACACCCCAGCCACCCTGGTGACCACTGGCCCACCCAGGTCCAAGGCGCAGAGCCTGGGTCACAAGTTGCTTTGGGGGGCTCAGCTGGGCACAGTCCTGCCCAGGAGGGATGAAGACAAGGTCACTTTAGGGTCTGGGGTCTGTAGGGAGGGCGAAAGCAGGCTAAGCTGTGGGCCCCACTCCAGGAGCACGCCTGGCCTGTTCTGGCTGCGGCCACACAGGAACCCTGCCTGGCAGCCCTGTGGCTCGCCCCCCCAACGGGCCCAGGCAGAGCCCCCCTCTGAGAGGCAACGCCCCAGCCCCACCATCTGCTCCATCTGAGCAACAGCCACCCTGTCTCGGTGCCCTTGGTTGAGGGAAGGAAGCTTCCCTTGGGCCCCTTGACTGCCTGGGTGTGCCAGGTCCCCCAGACCACCCCCAGGGCCTGCGGCCCCACCCACCCCATGCCTGAGGCATGCTCTGGGGCAGGTGGACTGCGCTTGCCCGACGCCCTCTGCTGGCCGCGGTCAGAAGTGCAGCCTGGTGTGGCCGGTACCTTTCACTACGGACCAGGCCCTGCCCCGGCAGGACCGGGCAGGCAGGACAGCTGTACACGTGGGCGCAGGGCTACCACAGCTCCTCCCTGCCCAGGGCTGCCTGAGATCTGGCAAACACCAGGAGGGGTCCCCCACTGTCCCCTGACAGTGGTAGTAGCAGCTTCAGGCCGTGCCAGCACAACAGAACACCACCCAGGTCAGGACCCGAGGCTAGAACCGAGTCAGTCTGGGCATGCGGGCCAGTCCGGGCGCTCTGCCTGGGACAGGCCTCGGATAGCCCAGATGGCAAGGGCAGAGGGAGGGCGGACACCCATTCAAGGGCCGTGTCCAGGCTGGCAGGGTGGTCTTCAGCCAGAGAGGCTGGAGCCAAGGGGGTGCCCGCTGGGCTCAGGGCCATGCCGGGGCCCGAGGGGCCAGGGTCTGCTCACGCCGGCTAGATGAAGGTGGAGTCCAGGGGCCCAGCGCCCTGCTGGCTCAGCGCACGGGCCTCAAAGAGCTGCTTGATGAGGGCGGACTTCTCCTGCTCCAGCTGGGTGATGCGTTCACTTTTGTCCGTCACCTCCTGGGCAGACAGGCAGTCAGGCAGGCCTGCCGGGCCTCGGCCCCCACACACCCCTCCCCGCACCTCACCTGGGTGAGGAGCCGGTTCTGCTCCTTCAGCATGAGGATGGTCTGCTGCTGCCAGCCGGGGGCCGGGGGTGAAGCGGGGGCCAGGGCAGGGCATGGGAGCCCCAAGGATGATGTGGGCAGAGCCTGTGGGAGGGCACGGTCAGGCAGGCCTGGACCAGGGTGAGGGGGCGCTGAGCTGGGCCTGGGCTCCAATGTGGGTGCTGGGGGGCAGGGGGCACTCACCCGGCCGGCACAGGCCGCAGCCAGCAGCTCCCCCAGGCACTGGGCCACCTCCTGTACCTTGGGCAGCAGCTGTCCCAGTGGGCGAGGGCTCCCTACAGCTCCAAAGTCCTGGGAGGAAAGCAGAGGATGGGTGGTCAGAGAGAAGGGCCGGGGCCAGCACGGAGGTCCCCACAGGTTGCACTCCTGCCCCCTGAAGTAGCTGCTCAGAGCCTCGAGGGCAGAGGGGCTGCTGCTGCTGGGGGAGGGCTACTGAGGGTGCCTGAGGCCCTCGGAGCGGGGCAGCCACTGTGGGAGGGGTGTACCTGCGCCCTGGGGGAAGGGACGGCCACCCTGCCCTGGAATGGGGGCAGTCATAAGCGCAGGGGCTGCCTGGGCTTGGGTGGCCACTCTGCCTGGGGACAGGGAGCCCAGAGCCCCAAGGCGGCAGTACTCACGGCACTGGCTCTGCTCTGGCCCAGGCGGCGCTGGCGCTCCTGCACTCGCTGCAGCTGCTGCTGGTACCAGTCGCGGCCCCGCGCCATCATCTCCAGGCCCTGCAGGAGCACCTCCCTCTCCTGCTCCAGTTCCTTCAGCTGCTTCAGCTGTGACACGCGCACCAACGTGGGAATGCCACATGCCTGTGAGCACGCACGCATCTGTGCATGCCTGCACGCGCCTACGTGTGCACCAGGAGCCACAGGTGTGCAAGCTGAGGCGCGCACACAGGCACAGGCACGTCGGCACATGTGTAGGTTCGCAAGCACATGCACCAGTGCACGGCAGCCTGCTCCCGAGACACTGCCCACGCGTGAGCCCGCGTGCCTGCGCGCTGGGAGCAGAGTCCCGTTCCTCCTCCTGGGTCCTGGCTCTCTCAGCCCCTCTACTCAGGCTTCCCCAGGGGGGTGACCGACCCCTGAGCTTGGCACCACTCTAGGGGTTCCCCTGTGGTGAGCACGCAGCTGGTGAGCTGGGCTGGCCTGCAAAGGTGGCCTCGTGAGGCAGCTGGGCAGGGCCCACGCCACTGTCACCACATGTGCCTAAGGGACCCTTTGACCTTTCTCTGCCTGACCTGGGTGGACCATCCCTGTGGTGGATTCACGCCCAGGGAGGGAGAGGTTTAGAAGGAACCAATGCTCCCCCCACAGGCTCCCGGTCCCCAGCCTCTGGCCCGCACTCACCAGGCCACAGTCCACGCCGTTGGTGATGGTGTGCCTCCGACGTTCCCCTCGAGTGCGGGGAGCCCGCCGCGCATCGCCCGAGCCTACCTCCGTGGCCCTGCAGGCCACTGCACCTGTCGCAGAGAGGCACAGGCCTGGCTCGTCTCCGCACCTCCTGGCTCCACTACAGGTGCGGTGGCCCCATCCACTCAATCCCTCCTCCGAGGTCCCAGGCACTGGCCTGGCCTGGCTGGGGCATGGTCCCCACTCGACTGCCTCGGCTCCCCTCACACCCAACTCCCCATCTGCAGAAGTGGGGCGCAGGTGTGGAGGAAGGTACCCTCCCTGGGGCCTTGGCCTGTCCCCAGCACCAGGCTCATCCTTGGAGGCCACGCCCCTGGTGCCCAGGCCACAGGAGTGGTGGGAGATGCAAGAATCGGCCCAGGTCGGTGTGGCAAGGGGCAGAGTTTGAGGTGCGGCCTGCTGTGCGGGGCAGCTCCGGGGCAAGGAGGGAGGAGGGCGCACAGCCATGCTCCTGCCTCCAGGAGGCCCGGGCACAGGAGGTACAGACAGGATGCCTGGGCCTCTCTCACAGCCCAGTCCGAGTCCGTAGGGCAGCTCCCAACCCTGAGAGGATGCAAGTGGCTTGTCCAGCTGGTTGACCCGCAGATGGAGGCCACCCTGCCCCTGCCAGGGCCCTGAGCCGGCCTGGGGCACACACTCAGCTGTCCATGAGGACAAGGAAGGAGGCCCTGAACCTCCGGGCTGGGGACTTAGGAGGCTGTGTATGTTGGGGGGCTTTACTGGGGAGGTGGGTTGACCTGGGAGCTCCAGATTTGGTACCCCAAAGCCAGTTCTGTCAGTCAGCATGCCACGCCCCTCACCCGGGCCTTGGTTTCCCTGTCAGAGGGTGATAGCTGGAACTCTGCCCTGAGGCCAGTGCAGTGACCAGTGTGAGCGCTGCCTTGCCGTGCACACTGGGCATGTGGGCTTCAGAGGGGTGAGGTCACTGCCCTAGTGCCACATGGGGCGTCAGGGTGGAGGAGGGCCGGACCATGGGCCTATGGCCTCCAAATCCCAGGCCTGTCCATTGCACGAAATCTACAGCTGATTTCAAACCGCGCAGCCACGCGGATGACGCTGACCCTGCATTTGGAGCCAGCTACACCCAGCAGCCTCCCACACAACAGGGACAGGGATGCTGGGTGGTGAGGCACCGGGGAGCCCCCAGCCTGGCTTGGGGCTGCTGGGTCAGCTCAGCAGGGAGGCCGGGGGCCACTGAAGCTCCAAGCACCAGTTGCAGGGCTGGAGAATGTGGCAGAGATGGGGGAGAGGTCCTGCAAGGCTGGCAGAGCTGTGGGCAGCACAACAGGGGCCAGCAGCTGCCACCCGCAGACAGGCCTGCACCTGGTGGACACGTGCACAGGCTGAATGGGCCAGGGCCTGGAGGAGCCTTGGGCTCCTCTGGGAGCCTGCCCCCCCAGCCATAATGCAAGTCCTGTTCCCAAGGCAGGCGCTGGGGGGGCAGACAGGGGGCCATTCAGCAGCCTCCTGTTGCTGCCAACTGGACCGGAAGCCAGGAGAGCAGCCTGCCAGCCTTCCCCAGAGACTATGGTCTGTGTCCTTCTGTGGCATCCACCATGAAGCAGGCCCCGGGCTGTGTAAGAGACTCACACACCCCTTCGCTCTACCTGGCAACAGAGCCAGGTCCTCTGGGCCACCTGCAGCACATCCTGCCTGCCCTGGCCTGGGTGGATGGCAGTGGGCCCAGCCCTCTCGGCAGAGCTGTCATACTGAGAAGGACCCTGAGGCCACTTGGCCGCAGTCTGGGGGACCCACTCTTCTGGAGGGAAGCATCTCTGCCTAAGCACCCACAGACAGGAGGCTGAGGGCCCAGATGTCCCCTGGCAGGAGGGACAGGTACTGGAGGTGGAGAGCCCAAGCTCAGACTTGGTACACGCTGGGTTCCCAGCAGATTTTCCGAGTCGCCCAACAGCCTGTGGCCCTGGTGGCCTCATGCGGTGGCCGGCAATGGGCTGGCCTACCCCCTTGGGCCCCTAAGCACACCGGGACAGGCAGGAAGCCCCTTTCCCTCCACGACCGCGGAGGCTCGCTCCAGGCTGGGGTGTCCCCTATCCCCGGCCCTCTTGGGAGGGGCACAGGCCGGAGGGGTGGGGAGGGGAATACGAGGCGGGGCTGGGGGTTGCCCCGAACTCACGAGCGTCCGCGCTCGGGCTCCGCTCCAGTGCCGCGCTCTGCGGCCGCTCGGGCTCCGCGGGGCAGGGCGCCGCCTCGGCCGGGCCGCACGGCTTCTCTGGGCTCCGGGCCGCGCCGCCGGGGCCGGCGGGCGGGGGGCGCGCGCCCAGGGGCAGGGTCTTCCTCTCCAGCACAGTCCGCGGCTCGTCTGCCGGCGCGAACACCAGGCGCTGCGGCGGCGGCGGCGGCGGGTCCCCGGGCCGGGCCGGGACGCGCGCGGGGCCCCGCGGGCCGCCGTCGGCGCTCGGCAGCGAGGTGCGCAGGCCGGCCACGAAGCGCTCGAAGGTCAGGTAGCCGCTGGCCGGGGCGGCCCGGCGCAGGCCCTCGAGCACGCCGCGGGGCAGCTCGCGCGCGTCGGCGCCCTGCCAGCGGGACTCGATCTCGCGCAGGTGCACGCAGCCGCGCCGCCGGTCGTCCAGGATGTCGAAGAGGGTGCGCAGGCTCTGCAAGAAGGCGCGCGGCAGCCCCTCCGTGCCGGGTGCGGGTGGCGCGGGTGGCGGCGCGCGGCCCCTCTCGGCCATCGTGACCCCGGCCATGGCGCCGGGCTCTGTCCCGCGTCCGCCCCGCGCGGCCCCACCGGGCCGGCCGGCGTGCTGCCCGCCGCGACAATGGCGGCGACTTTTGAACGGGGCCCGCCCGCGGCGGCGGCGCTCATTAGCATTTACGGCGCCCATTGGCCGAGCCAGGCCCGGCCGCTCCCCGATTGGCTGAGAGGCCGCCAGCCCGGGTTTGATTTTTCCTGCCGGGGCCGGCGCCGTGCCGGGGAGGGACCGCCAGGCGCACCGACGCGCTGGGCGGGCGGGGACCGGCTCCGCCAGCTCCGGCCCGGCCCAGATCTCGCCGACCTCCCCTTCGGCCCCGCCGCCTGCCCCCACCAGCCCTCCGGCCCCGGCTCGGCTCGCTCTCCGCTCCGGCTGCGCCCGCCAACACGCTATAAAAACTGTCCCTAGGTAACTGTGGGGTAAGGGTGGGGGCGAGCCCCCTCCGGGGATCCCACCCTCCACCTCTAGGTCCCTGGGTTCCCTTCGCCGAGGGTCTCCCGGCCACAGCCACCCACGGGCCGACGCTGGGGCCTCCTCTTCCGCCAGGAGCCACAGGAGGGCCATAGTCTCCAGCCAGCTGGACGCCTCCCTGCACAGAGGCCTCTCTGTCCCCACCGCTGCTAGCTCCTCCTCTGGGCCCTGGAGACAGCCTGGCCTGTCCTGCCTGCTGCAAGACAAAGCCACTTTCTCCTGTGTCCCAGATCCCCACCTGGTGATCAGCTCCCCTTGGCTCTGGCCGTCCTCCGCCCCAGCCCCTTCCCCTGGCTGGACACCTCCAGCTGCTCTCCTGGCTCCCATAGCCTGGTCCTTCGTCCCCATCCCCCTGCCCCAGGGGCTCTGCTGTGTTTCCAGCTGAGATCGGGTCACTGTCTCCATCTGGTCAGTCCAGCTAGGGAGAGCCTGTGTTCTCGCTCTGGGAGCCCATCCCAGGGCTGACCAGTAGGACCCTCTAGAAACTAGGGCGGTGCTCAGGATGCCTGGACCCGCCTCCACCTCTGCCTTTCTTCCAGGCCCTGCTCTGGCCCCTCCCCCCACCATCTTCCCAGACTCACTAATGCCACGGGCACCTGGCCAATGACACAGGGGCCTGCCTTGGTCCCCTGGCTGGCCTCCCTTGAGCCCTTCTTGAGCAGGCCTCTGCTGACCCGCCTACCTGGGCCTCTGTGTTCTTAGACCTGAGGCACTGGTGTCTGTGTCTCAGGCTATAGGGGCAGCTTCCCCGGCCAGGGGGTGTCCTGGGTCCACTTCTCTAGGGTCATCCACCCGAAGTTGGGGCTTATTCATAGTAAGCAATTTGGGTGGGGGCCCTGTGTCTTTCCTCTGCTGAGGTCTGATCACGTCCTCCTTCCACTCTGCTTTCCAGCCTGGCCTGACACTTCCTCAACCCTATAGCTTTTGGCAAGCTACTCTGCTCCTGGGGGAGCTTCTGGAGCCCAGACCAGGTCTCTGGACCCATGCAGCCTCTGTACTTCCCGAGGCACCATCCCAGTTGTAATTATGTGCTCGCTGTGCCAGCCTGGAGCTCCTGGGCAGGGTTGCTGGAAGACTCTTTCCCCCCACGTACCCTCAGCACTGGGCACGGAGTGAGGGACTGGCACGGCTGCCTGGCCCCTGAGCCTTTCCCGGGGCTCTGGTCCTCGCTGTTGGCCTCCGGACCTAGGGCTCTGCTCATCTGCACCCCTTGACAAGGAAGGACCTAAGGCAAAGAGATGGTGACTCTTTGGCCACAATCCTGCCTCTGGCGAGGGGTCCAGGAGGTTTCTGCCCAGCTCAGCCTTGCTGGCACTCCCACCTGTCTGCCCTCCCGCCAGCCCAGGTAGATTTGCTCCTCTCCTGGCCCTGCAAGTGCCTCTGGCTGCACAAATATTGATTTTACAAACCCTCTGATCATGGCCTGACCCACACCTTGAGGTGGGATTTGGGGTCACCCTGACCTAGAACGCCCAGAGTTCATGTCCTGACACCCACCTTGAAGGGACATGTGCCATCTCTGCTGCCCGGCCCCGCTAAGTATTCCTGTGGACTCTGGCCTGGGTGTGCAGTCTGCTGTGCTCTCCTGAAGCTCTACCTCCTGTCCCTACTCTCCACCTCCAGCCATTGCCCAAACTGTCCTTCAATCACCACAAACTATTGCAGCAGAAACCATTCATTCGTTCGTTCATTCGGCATGTACCCCTGGAACAGTTGTGGTGATCCGGTCATGGAGCTAGGCTTTTTATCCAGTCCTCGTTTGTTCAGTCAGCAGACATTCACTGAGTGCTGGGCATTGGTCTAAGGTGGTGGGGACAGAGCAGTGTAGCAAACAGCATCCTGCCTTTGTGGAGTTCACGTCTCACGGGGCAGCAGGACTCAGAAAGGCAGGGCGGGCACGGGGATGGTCCGGCGCCTCTGAGCCCATATGGCCTGGGAGTTTCCCCAGGAGCCGACCTGACAACGTGGGGTAGTGAGTCACGCATCTTTCTGGGGAAGAGCATTGCAGGCAGGAGGAACAGCAAGTGCACAGCCTCTGTGGCGGGCTTCAGGCCCTTCTTGGAGAAACAACTTTCAGGTCCAGGAGAATTGATTGTGGGCCTTGGCTGCCTCGGTAAGGGTGTGGGGAGGTCTGTGTGCAGAATCTGCCTGCAAGAGACACAACTGCCTTGACAGCCGTTAGCCCGGGCAGACCTGAGGGAGCTGCTAATTTTCGTTTTGGATCCTAGAGCATCATTTGCATTTTTAAAAAACATGTGCTTGTATTAATTTTAGACTTAATAAAATTGGTTTCTAAAAGAAAGTTTTGTCTCAGAATGGCAGAGCTACCCTTTCAGATTTTTCACAAGCAAGATATTTTAAAATCTGATAGTTAAAATAAGAATGTAGGTGGGTGATGTGAAAGAGGGAGCCCACGGGTGCGCCGCCCCTGCTGACACTCAGGCGCCAGTCCCGCCGCATCTCTCCCCGCACCCGCGGCCCTGGTCTGGCCTCCTCACTGCGCCCCTGGGCAAGCGCCAACTCGGTTGGGGACAGAACCTGGCCTCCCCTCGGGCGCCACCGCTGCCCAGGGCTGCGGGCAGACAGAAGGGTGGGTTAGGACCAAAAACCAGGTCGATGGGAGAACCCCTGAGGGGGGACCCCATCGGTGGCGTCTCCTCCCATAGCGCAACGGCCCGGCTGCCCTGTCCTCTCCCGCGGTCGCGATCTCAGAGGTTCCCAGGATCCCTCGGGGCGGGACACGGAGTGGACCCTGGGCGGGGGCGGATTCGGGGGCATGGGACCCGGCCAGGGCTGGGCTCGGGGACTGGACAGGGCTTTCGGGCCTGGGGCGGAGACGGGGCCCAGGGCACGGCAGGGATGAGGACGCGAGCCGGAGGGACCCGGCCAGGGGCAGACGCTCAGAGTGGGCTCGGCGGACGCAGGGGGGCGGGCACCGGCCGAGAGAGGGGGCGGCGTCGGGGCCCAGCTCTGGGACAGGAGAGAGCCGGCTGGGCGGCCGGGACGGGGCGGGTCGACAGAGCGCCGGGGCGGAGTCGTGGTCCCGGAGCAAGGGTTGGGCAGGGCCCTGGGCGCCGTCGAGGCGGGGTGTCCTGGGCCCGCCCTCCGGGGTCAGCACCGCCCGCCGGTCCCGTGACACTGGTCGGAGCGCGCGGGTCACGAGTGCCAGCTCGGCGGCCCGCGGCGGTAGCGGCGGCATGGCCTCGGAGCGGGAAGTGCGCGTCCGGTTGCGACGCGCGGGCCAGGAGCACCTCCTGCGCTTCTGGGCCGAGCTGGCGCCGGGGCCGCGCGCCGCGCTGCTGGCCGAGCTGGCGCCGCTGGAGCCCGAGGCGCTGCGCGAGCACTGCCGGCGAGCGGCGGCGGCCTGCGCACTCCCCCCCGGGCCGTCGCCCGACCTGGCCGCGCGCCTGCGGCCCCTGCCCCCCGAGCGCGTGGGCAGCGTAGGCCGCAGCGACCCCGAGACGCGGCGGTGCTGGGAGGAGGAAGGTACGCGCGGCGGGGAGCCGGGCGCCCGGGCCCCTCTCCCGCCGGAAGGCGGCTGTGTCCACAGAGTGGGATGGGGAAGAGTGGGAGCTCGGAGGAGCTAGTTCGCCTGGCCACTTTGAGAAGTCTTCTCCCGCCTCATGCGTGAGAAGTCTCAGAGCCCAGGCCCAGGTCTGGCTGGCCCCAAAGTGAAAGGGTGGCGGTATGGCAGGTCCCAGGCGTCCCCTCACGGCGCCCCTCACCCCCAGGTTTCCGCCAGATTGCCCTGAACAAGGTGGCCGTCCTGCTGCTGGCCGGCGGGCAGGGTACGCGCCTGGGTGTGGCCTACCCCAAGGGCATGTATCGTGTGGGGCTGCCCAGCGGGAAGACGCTGTACCAGCTGCAGGCGGAACGGATTCGGCGGGTGGAGCAGCTGGCTGGTGAGCGCCGCGGGACCCGCTGCACCGTGCCCTGGTGTGTCCTCCCCGTCCTGTCTAGGCCCCAGAGTAACCCCCTCCCATAGCCCTCGCCCTATCTCCGACCAGGACCTGAGCCCCAAGCCCAGCACCGCCCTGGACCTTCCAGCCTGAGGCCTGACCCCGCCCCATCCCTAGTCGTAGCCTATCGGCCTGGAGGGTTAGGGTTAGGGGGCCAGCCTGGAGGCGGCTCACCCCGCCTCCTCTGCAGGTACATCATGACCAGTGAGTTTACTCTGGGGCCCACCGCTGAGTTCTTCAAGGAGCACGACTTCTTCCACCTGGACCCTGCCAACGTGGTCATGTTTGAGCAGCGAATGCTGCCTGCAGTGACCTTTGATGGCAAGGCCATCCTGGAGCGGAAAGACAAAGTTGCCATGGCCCCAGGTATGACCCACCCTTGCGAGGGGAGGGGCAGCCCAGCCTACAACTGGAGTGCAACTGGGGGTCCAGATGTCTGGGTTCCAGGCTACCAGGAGGCTGTGTGGTCCTAGGCCAGTTGCCGCCTCTCTCTGGCCCCTGATTCCCATGTGTGGGGTGGTACACCGGCAGGGCTATTTGGATAGTGACCCAGAGCCCGCCTCCATCATGGCTTGGACCAGTCAGGGAGGCCTGGGTGGAGCCTCGGCAGGGCCGGTTCTTTTCCCCGTAGACGGCAACGGCGGCCTGTACTGCGCGCTGGCGGACCACCAGATCCTGGAGGACATGGAGCGCCGGGGCGTGGAGTTCGTGCACGTGTACTGCGTGGACAACATACTGGTGCGGCTGGCGGACCCCGCCTTCATAGGCTTCTGTGTACTGCGCGGAGCGGACTGTGGCGCCAAGGTGAGCGCGCAGCCCCGCCGGCCTTGGCCCCGCCCCCCAGCCTCCCCC